CATCCTCACCAACTACTGTGATTATTGTTTGAGATGATGTTACTGTCTGAGACTGACCTGAAAGGACAGGAAAAAGTTTGTATCTCACAGTCATGTTTATCTAATGTTCTTAGATTATCTGCAGCTTAAGCTTGACTGCTCAGTTTCATTTATATTTTTGTACACCTAACAAATTATAAAATATACACAGACCTCCAAGAAGGATATATTTTGTGTAAAGTATTTACTTTAGCTGATAACGTTTGTGTAGATGTTACCTGTCCTTATATCTGTCAGAAGGAGTAGGATCACAAAAAACAAAGCGCATAGATGACATTTCAAAGGAAGTTGACCACATTGGGAGTTCTGGAAAAAGAATATAACGCCGCCAAATTTTAATTACTTAAAAGTATATCATGACTTTAAGACATCAAAAAGCATAAACAAGTAAAAATATCAGCTGAGATCACCAATAACAGGTGAACAAAAAAATACTGATCATCTTGTAAAATTTAGCCAATGACATGAAGCAAAATACCAATTTGAATACTGATGTAGACTGTGCACTAAAAAAAATGCTTTTATTGCAAAGCTAATTATTTTGTTTTCCTTTTTTTTCTGCCACAGACCTTCCTTTGGCAATCTGTGTTTTTGATCAGCAAAAACAAATATACCTTAAACTGGATTACAAAGGGTAAATTAGTCAATCGAAAAACAAAACAAAACAAAAGACAACTTACCAATACTGCCATTTTGTGTTAGTTATACGCTTGATCACAAAGTCCAGCACAGTCAACACCAAAAATAAAGGTAGCCTAAGACAAGGAAGAAGAAAAGTGTTTAGATTCTGACATTAAACTACTTCCTGTTCAAGAAAAGAAAGCTGTACTGGTTGGCTGCTATTTTTATGATGGCTAACAGAAGAAAAACTTAAAATATAGTATTCTCTATATAATGAAAACTTAGCTAACAAATAGAGTTAACACAGTTTATAAAATAAGAAAACCAGTCTGCAATTTATCAATTTAGAACTACAATAAAGAACTACCATTAAAACTAAAATAAAACTGTATTTAAGTAACATCACACACTTACCGATTGTTTCTCTGAGTGAGTTTGCGTTCAACACGCTACAGGATCTTCAGCTGTGCTGAATGTGAATAAGGCAAGTGTGTACTTTGACCGCCTGCGTACCATTTAGTGGAAGGATCTGCTCCAACTATCATAAAATGACAGGCTATCATGTATAATTGTATTTGACGACGGTTGTTCAGCAACACATTTACACAGACATGAATATTAACTAATAATTAAATGACGAGTAATACATAAATGCATGGTAAATGATCAAGAAACACTCGCTGCGTGATGTCTATAATCAGCTGCATTAAGAGTCATTTGATCCAGACCTAACTATATGCTTTAGCAAAAAGAAATATTTAAAGCCTTCGTTGTATTTGAAATATGTAGTGGTGAGGCAGAGGACAGCTACAAAAAGAAAGTTATAGCTTGCCTT